TAATATCCCCAAACACTTAACATCAGCACTACTTTAAGCACAATAAAGAATCCTCCATGGCAGCAGCAGCTGAGCGCTGAGCACAATAGCTGTCTCTTATACACATCTAGATTACTACTGTCAGTCTGAGAACTATCCGTTCTGCACAGTACTATCCACACACATTATGTAGGGGCCGAAGGATCGCTTGCAAAAAATTCCCGAATGGGAACACACAAAGCAACACGGCACACCCACACACAAAAAAAATTGTAGGGGCATGGCCCCAAACTTTTTATTTCTTTTCACCCTCTCTGATTTTCGTGAGGGAAGAGGCGAGGCGTGCAACAGTTCCCCGCCCTTCCCAATACTTTCAATGGACCCCTATATTTTCGGAACAAGGCGCATGTGGCATGCGCTTTGTGCCGCACGTGTGGTCCCCACGTGCACGTAACGCACTGCAAGTACGCTGTCAGAACTTGTGTGCGTGGGTGGTTCACGAGTTGAGGACAATGGAGAACTTTCCCAACAGGGCCTATCACAGCCTACATCTGATGGCACAGGCAGGCATAACTGGACAGTCAGTGCATAGATGGATGGCCAAAGAGGCAGGAGAGCACAACGTGGGCGACAAGACTTTCCCCCACCATGAGAACAGAATCATACTCCCAACTTAAAAAGATCCTGCAAACTGGGATTCACTAACTGGCCTACACAATGTCCCTGGTCGAATGAGAGGCAGCTCCACTCTCCTTCTTGATCAAGTCCCCTTGCAAGACGTGGTCACCACCCACCACCCTACCACATCGCAACAGAGGCTGGAACCTTCTGCTCGAGCTGCTTGTTCTTTTGTTCAGGTGATGACCACGACTTGACAGCTATAACAACAACAATCAGAACTACCCATCCTCACCGTTATCATACAGCAACAGTGGAGTCAGGTATTGAGCATGGTAAAATCCCCACCATCCTTCTCAAGGCGCAACAATCTTGCCTCCCAACCATCAGAACCAGAGAATTCTCAAACGTACCACCCCACCCCCAGTGAGCAACAACCTTGCCTCTCCACCATCCTTCTCAACATCATCCACGTTGGCCAGCCACTTGCTACTACATGATAACCATTCAGGTATGAGCACGGAGTCTAAACAAGTGGGTCCTGAGAGCACAGAGTCTAAACACGTGGGTCCTGACTACACGATTGGTGCTTCACAGGTCCCCACTCAACATAGTGCCAACTCAACATAGTTGGAGTCACACACAGGATGATCAAGTGGGGGGGGGGGAAGAAGAAGAAGAAGGTCCCAACTCGACATAATTGGAGTCACACAGAGGAGGATCAATTGGAGGAGGAGGGGGGAGAGGAGGAGGAGGGAAGGGGGGCAGGAGGAGGAGGAGGAGAAAGGGAGAGGACGGGAGCAGAAGAAAAGGAGAAGAAAAGGGAGGGGGAGGAAGAGGAAGAGGAAGGAGACGGCGAGGGAGCAGG